TCCTGTAGCACTGTGGGAGATGGAGATTCCAGAAAGAAATGCCATCTCAGGCTAAGGAACATGAGCTTAAAGCTATGTCTCAGAAACAGGGATGGGAAACTAGCGCAAAAAGAACATCTCTATACAAGGGAATCCCCCAGAGAGGAAAGGGATCTTGCTGGCCCTGACTGCAGAGAAGCAAAATTACAGTTCAGCAATTTTCCTGTCCCTCATGGTCCCATCTGTGCATGTCTATGTCCCCAGGGAGCTCCAAGGAGCAAACATCCCCAAAGGAATATGAGGGGGAAACAGCACTGAGCAGCAGCAGGAACAATGACTGAGTATGGGTGTCTATCTGCACACACAGGATCAGAGCTGGCTGCAGTGTGAGGACTTCACTGTCTGTGGGACTGTCCTTGGAAGGGGATATTTTTTCCTAGGCACCTTTGAGGCAGAGCAGCTATGAAAAGGGATGACTAGAAAAGCACTGGGAGTACAACAGAAGCATACCATGCTCTTGAGCAGCAGCTCCATGCTCTGGGCAGTGGCAACGCATGGAGCAGTGCTGGCTGCCATGCTATTTTTCTGCCATCCCCAAAGATGGGATCCAGGGCTGCTGCCTGGGTCGCCCCTCCTCAGTTACACTATTGGGGCACAGCAACCCTCCTACACAGTACCCTGGCTCAGCTCTGCTCCGTTCTGGGAATGGCTACTCAGAAACAGCCTCCTTGAGCAGGTTCTGTTGAACCTGAGGCAGGGCACAACAGCCAGAAGCAGGGGAAAAGGAGGATCAAGAGACCAGCCAAAATGCCTTTTCCTGATAATTTTGTCAGTCTCTGTTCTGCTAAAATCACTGCAATGTGTCTCTGGCCTGGTCTGGGGCAGGCCAACAGGGCTATTTGGTTTAATTAATTGTCTGTGCACTAAATGGTGATGTCAGCCCCAGGGCAGCAGTGGGGGCAGCAGCCTGTGAGTCTAGGCTGTGGGTTCATTGTCTGACATAGACAAACAGCCTGTATGGGGAGGTCTGCTCTGACTCCTTGGTGAGCTGGGACAGTGTTACCAAGAAGCTGGACCCACCTACTCATACCTGCTCAGCACATGGAGGCATAAGTGACAAGTTGTGCGTTCTGGGCAAAACACTACTTTAGTGTGGGGGTCAGACTTATCTACCCCAGGGACCCAAAGACCCTGGCTGCTGATGAAGCAGCTTCTGTAGCAGTGTGTTGTCTCTACACTGGCTGCTGTTGCTATCATGGCAAAGACTCCCAGACCCCACCATTCTGGAGCCACCTGTCCACAGCATGAGTTGGCAGCCTACTTGTCCTCCCATAGTCACACCATTGTCAGCACATGTCCAAGCCCAGAAACAAAAGAGTATAGCCAGTTTAGCATGGCAAATGAGAAAGTATAGGCAGTTTAGCATGGCCCAAAGGGCATTTTAGGAAGCACACCTGAGACAAAGCCTCTGGCCAGGCGCTCAGGACTAAACCACTACGCTACCTAATTTTCAGGCTTTCACCCATGCTGAGTGGGAGCAAGCGGGCAGGATGTGCTTCTCTATTCTCAGCCCTGCCACAGGTCCACTAGCTAACTGTGGGCAAGACACATCCCCCTTTCTGTGCCTTAATTTTCCTAGTCTGTAAAATGGATATCTTGAAGCTGACCGCCTTTGGAAACCACTTTGAGAAGCACTGTTGAAAGTGCTACAATTTCCCTATTTACAAGCAGAAACCCCCTTCATCTTTTATTTCTGACGAGAGCACTTTCTCTCCATTCTCCCTGCAGTGAATCTGTCCCATGGTGTTCATATTCCTTCACTCTCACTTATGCATTTAGACCCTGGTGATATAGCATTTTTTCACAGATCTTCATCCCTCTGCAAACTTGAAGCTCCAGGCACACAGTAAAATCCACTTTAGTGCAGGTCAACACAAGATATTTATCCTACTTGTTCCCTCCAAACAGTGCACAGAGGGAATTCTACCCATATATCTTTGGGATTAAATATGTCCCTGAATGGACCCGTTGCAAAACAGTGAATTCCACCATCACAATATTGGTTGCAGTTGAGCTTCTGTGCTGCTCTGAAAGAAGCAGAAATTATATTATAAAGATAAGCTAATGGCAACTTGTTCTACTGCAATTGTCAAGCACAAAGAAGTATGACACTTAGGAGTATTATGAATTATTATTATTAATGGCAGTTCCTAAAGGCTAATCAAGATTGGGGCCCCATTGTTCTACACCCTGAACACACAGAGAACCAGACAGTCCCAGCTATAAAGAGTTTACAGTCTTAAACTGGGTATGACAGGTTCAGGGTAGATTTCCACTACCAACTCATTTCTTCAGTAAATGAACCTGGGTCAAAATGGGATTGTTCATGTTTTCTGATTAGATGCTATAATTCATGAAAGTTTGCAAACTTACTCAAAAAGACAACACGAAGGGGTTATGAACACAGCCAAACTTCAATCCACTTTCAGTTCTGAAGCAAATATTGTCTCCTGGATCCCCAGTTTCACTGACCAACTTACAGCAATGGCAACACCTGCTTTGTTAACTCTGTGCACATCTACAGGTTGCAGATTTATTTTTTTAATCCATCCTTTGCATTCTTCAGCTCAAGATTAGATTAGTTCAGAAAGCTCTACCTACAATTCCACCTGAAAACTAATCAGTGCAAAATAAGGCAACTAGTTTTTTAAGCCATCTCATTGTCCTGATAGGGCACAGGATACCAGAATACTTTCTCCTCAAGTACCTGGCTTAAATAGCAAACATGTGTTCATCTCCAGGATATGTTTTATAAATCTGAAGTGAATATGGTGCTTTGGATGGAATAGAATGGAAGATGTTTTGTTGTTATACTTATTGGCTGATATACTGACTTGTATTATTTTAAAACACTAGTGGGTGGTATTTCTAGGTGGATCATGTGCTTATCTTTTGTGGCACCCCAAGCTCCTCTACAGACATTCCTTGTACTTTAAATCGGGAACATATTAATGCCGTACAGCAGTGAAAGATGCAAAGTCAGGAATGGCATAGGGCATGGCTGACCCTGGTATGAAGCTGAAGTGTGGCTTTGTACTAATAAATGAATGGGAAAACCATCTGGTGTGTTTTTAAATGAGGGGAGGCCATTTTTACATGAGGAGATGTCCCTGATAACTCAGGTGCATGAGCTCAACAATTCTTTCGCCCAGACATCCTCACAGACGTAACCAATGCCAGTCTCTCTATTGGAAATGAGGCTATTTACCAAGTATATGACTGGCACTAGTTGGAGCATGCTGTCACCCCACAATCCTCACATAATGAGACACTTTCTAGTGCATTTCACTGCAGGATCACGTGAACAAAGCTTGGGAAATCTAAACTGCTGTGGAGACCAGACCACTCATAGCAAATGAAGGATGAGACTAAGCATTTTAAGGAGTTTGAAGTTTGTTTAAGTATTATGGCTTGAAGTTCCTCAGTGACCTCAAAACACTTGAAGTTCAAGATACTTTACTAAGACTGGTGTCTCTACCATCCTCCTCCCACCCGCACCCCCTTTTTTTTGCACATTTGCAAGAAGCACCTACAATCCTGGTTTCTCGAGCCCTACAGCCCAAGCTGTGGGGTGACACTAATGTGACTAGAATGGGAATAATGGGAGGATGGCCTAAGCACCATCTTCAGCCATGTCTACTCATAGAAAGGGGTTAAGCTGGGAGTTATACATACTAAATACTTTTAACAAAAGAGCACAGCTCCTGATCATCCTCCCCAACTATCAGGCATTCAGTTACATCTTATCTTCTGAAAGAATGCCTTTGAGATGGCATTTTCTGACACACACATACATACACACCCTATTGCAGCTGGGGCTTAAAAAGCCCACATATACCCCATGGTAGTCGTTCTCAACCTTTTTAAACTCAAGGAACCCCTCCAAAACATTTGGGAATTGAGTAGCACCTGATTTCAAATGCCAATTTATATATTATGGTGCTTACCTCCTTACACAGAGGCTGAGCAGTAGGGGGGTCAGGGGTCTTCCAACCAGGGACAAACCACCACCTGGTTTATCAGCTTATCTTATCTGCTTATCTCATCACACTTCTCTTATCTCCTCATGCCTCACCCCAGGGTGCCCTTGAACTGAAGTCACTGTTCCTTGGCCCATTAGGGCTAGCTCAGAAATATGTACATGTTCATTTGTCCCCCTTGAAGTTCATCAAATTGCAGTGCATGGCAGATGCAGAGCTACACAACAAGCACGTGCAGAAACTTTGACATTAGGAGAAATTCCAACTACAGAATCTGAACTCAGATAGATAAGCAGCCTTATAAACAGGATGGCCGAAGAGTAGATGGCATAGCTCTCATGGAAGAAGAGAGGAGGTCTGGAAATCCTGAATTTATGGGCGTGTGTTTGTGGAGCTTTGGGGTGAGAGAGAGAGAGAGTGGGAAGGACTGAGATCTTGAAACTCAGGAGGAAAAATAGTATAATTCCCATATGTTTCAATGCAAAAATGCATTGCATTGCACAAATATTTTAGCTAGGTTGGCTCTGCCATTTATCATGATTTTTATTTCTGCTTATATGATATAATAAAATACATACTATACACTCTGTACACTATAAAATATTTATGGGAAATATATAATTTTTCCCTTATAAAAAGTAGGGGAGAGATACAAAGACAAGACCCTGGAAGCAGAAAACAAGGCTGGGTCTGAAGAACAATAGGTAAGGATGCAGGATCCATGGCAGATTCATCCAGACAAGAGGGCCAGATATGAATTATTTTTTTCCATACTACAAGATATATTTTAATCTTAGGCAAAATGGAATTATTTTGCAGCACAAAAGGGAACCTTATGGAGAAAAAAAATTAGAAGGTTTTGTGAATGACCCCAGATTTCCATAGTCAAACTAGAAAAATGGCAGGGGACACAAGCAAGGATTGCATTAGAAGCTCATCCCAGGAATCCAGTAGGAAGAACAGAGAGTCAGAAATCAGAGCTCATTGGTAGCAGAGCTGCACACAGACATTTATTGAATACAAACAATGACAAACACGGCAGGCTCACAGAGATTTGAGCTTCCTGAGCTAAGTCCAAAAGTTCTCTATGGGTTTTGTTTTCAGAATACTATTAGAGGCCCCTGTGGCTTTGAATTACATATCACTAAATCCTCCCTGGGCCCAATTACTTCTTAGTTAAAAAATTAGACTTTCCCCCCACCCCTTCTAGTAGGCATAAATATGGCTTGTCTGGACCCTGCCATGTTGGAAAAAGCATCTCCTGTGTGGGAACCAATGGGGACTGTGAGATTGGTTCATTGGCTCCTACACATTCTGCTTCCAAAAAAACGTGGGGAAAACCATGCCATATTCTCAGGACATGGATTAAAGGTTTAAAAGGTGAGCCAGGACAAGCAAAATGAAAATATGGGAGCATCAATGGAATAACTGTGAGAAAATAAGTATATCAAAGCAAACACAGCTCTAGATGGCATCAAAGATCATACACTACAATAAGTGCTGTTAGAATGCCAAATCAAATTTAAAATAGCTAAGCTAAACTGACACTAGAGACCAACCTTCTTCTGAAGTCTTACCAATGGAACCTCCCCCAAAAGGTTATTAAAATAATTAACACTGTACAGGCCTGGACCATAAATAAAGAGTTCAGTACCAACATTAGGGTCACAGTATGGAACTTATAAAGAAACATTTTTGTGTGTGTGTGTGTGTGTGTGTGTGTGTGTGTGTGTGTTAGTAAAGAAAAAGTTTCTCTGGAGATAAGGGGAAGACAGTAGCTATACAGATATACAAGCTGGGTGGAGTGTCATTGGCTTGAGAGGGTCAGGTGATGCAGAATGAAGGATGATAGGTAGAAATTAGAGTGCGCCCATTCCAGTGACCTCAGACGTCAGCCTAGAATAGACAAAGGTAAAGAGAAAGGGGAAAGGGAAGAGATAAAAACAAGTACTTAATCAAAGGATTAGAAAAGAAAAAGATTTTGTGGTATACTCACAACTGTCCTCTTTTCTGCTATATCCCACTCATTCTTCCCTTTTCTCCAGTGTAATCTGCCATGCTGAAATATTCATTATATTAATCCACTTTGTGGAGACTTCTCCTAGCAACACCACAGTTAGGGCTGCATTTTAAAATGGGTTTAAAATCCTGCCTCTAAAAGTAAGTGGCCAATTAGTGTGAAATGTCAGTGTTCAGGTCTGATGTCCTTTGAAGTTCTAGATTGTTTCATAAACTTTTAGAGAAATATCTGAATTCAGCTCTGGATTAGGTTTTTTGGCAGCTCTGCTTTCCATTGGTGATGTACAAATCCTAAAAACACTGTTTATCCCAAGTTTGATAGAAAGGTGGCCCCTGAGAAAATCGAGTGCTATAGGGCTAATGCATGCTCAAGGCCCTATACATAAGGTTTGTGTGTGTAGTGCCATAATTCTCATAATTATCAGTTTTTTAACATCCAATTTTGGGTGATTTTCAACTTATGTACATTATATTTTGAGATTTATTATACTGGGCACACAAGTCAGATGCAAGGTCTTGAGCACAACCAAACATGACTGGCTGAGGAAGGGCTCTCTCTGCACATGGAAACTTGACTGATGTTGTTGGGTAAATGAAAAAGCCTTGCCTGCCAGGAGTTACACATTTCTGCCAGATATTCCCCTACAGCATGTGAGGGCTCATGTACAGATGCTGAGAGAGAAAATGTTCTCTGTCAGTAGCACTTTTACCAGTACCATAACTAGACTCCTGGCAGCCCCAGGGAAACTTTTAGTATCAACCTCCACTTCACTAGAGATAATGATTTTTTTTGTTGCAAAAGTGTTTATCACATCTGTGGTACTGATGTCTTTAAATAGTTTGTTATCAATTGATAACATTGCCCATTCCATATATATGTAATATTAAAACTTGTTTTGCAATTGTAATTTTTTTTCATTGTTAGGCTCCCTTTCTGTCTCGGCCCTGGGCGGCCACCCAGCTCGCCCATGCCTGTGTCCAGGTCTGACTTTTACTGCCTCACAGGAATATTCCCTACCACCACGTAAGCATTAAAAATAATTAGTTTCCAAATATCTCTGCTGTGAGACAGCAGAGGTTGCTACACAGAAAATATAATTAATAAGAACCCACAAAAGCAAGGAAATGAAAAGCTAAGACATCTAACAGTATATGCCCTATTTTGCTCACAGGGTACACCTTACCATGATCACAACTCCACAACTGAACTATTCCACAGACCACATCAGAACCTTATCTTTGCTCCCTTTTTTGTCCTACACACAGTTATTTACCAGTTTATTCCCACCTGTCCCAACCCTGGTAGCTGTGGACATTCATTGTCACGGCTGCTTGTGCTCTGATACTGTAGGTGTTAGAGGCCAGCATTCCAGGGGCAGCATATACAGTCATTCCAGGGCTATACTGTTACGTACTGTAAAATGGCTTAGCTTTTTATGTCTTTGCTTCTGTGATTGTGTTAGGTATCAGTAGGGTAACCATGAGGAAATCCGGGACATCTGGGATACTACCTCCTCCCCAAGTCAGTGATGCTGCTGCAGACAGTGGCAGAAGCTGGTGCACAGGGGCGCGGGAGCAGTCCAGTGGGGAGACGGAGCTGCCTGGTGCATCATGCTACTACACCTCCCTGCCAGACTGTGCCCCTGCAATTCCAGGACTCTCATTTTAATGTTCACCAACCAGCTGGGACCAGCCTTCAAAATCCAGGGCTGTTCCTGCCAGACCAGGACATGTGGTCACCTTAGGTATAAATAGGTATGTAGCAAACCTATCTGCAAAATGTTTATAAATACTAAATTCCCCTTTGCATCTTGATATTGCCTTAGATTTTTAAAGCTGGGAGAGTCTGATATAAGACATATTTTTTATGTCCCAAAACCCATCTCCTCTGGATTATTCATAGCACATAGTGCCTATCTGTAAAGCTAAGAGCCAAAACCTGCAAAGAAAAAAAAGGAGGGATTCTTTAAAAGGCAGTCAGAATTTAAGGAAAATTCTCTGAAAGCAACTTTAACACTGTTCTCAGAGTGTTGCTTTGTAGGTGGGAAGGTCACATAGATTTTGAAGGAGATTTAGGCAGAACTGTTAGTCTCTGCTCAGGAGAGATGAAGGACTTGAACAACAGAAAGCTTCTACAGGTCAAAATAAAGGTGCTCTGGCACAGCGGCATGGGAAGGAGGGGTGAGAATAGAATGGTGGAGGTTGCTACAGGTTAGAGCTGAGGTTAGTTGGCACAACTCCATATGAAAAGAAATCTTGCACAAAGCCTACCTGCACTATACCCGATCTAGGCAGTGCTATCAGTCCTTCACCATAAGGAGCACCAAAGTCATCACATAGCTACTAAGAAATAAATCACTTCTAGGACACATGGAATAATATTGTAAGTTAACAGGCATGTTGGATAAATGCTAAAATCCCAGTGACATGTGATGGCATGGTACATGCTCCACCCAGCTTAGAAAGATTTGAAAGTTGTCTTAGTTGCATCAATCCCTTCTGCAACTAACCAGTTTTTTTTTTTAGTTCAGCACAATGCATTTTTTTCAGGGAATATCCCAGAAGATAAGACTCACATTTCCTCTCAGGTTCCCCTTCACCCTATCCTACCATCTACGTATTTGTACACATATACAAGAGATCTGACTAAATCTAAGTGCCCCCAAAACCTCAAATATCGGTCACACTCTTGAATAAACTCAACTGTTTACTCCCAAATTGCCTGCTTCCTAAAAAGGATATTCTACTAAATAGTCCATACTTGCATGCTTATTTTTTTTTGCCATTAATAGGAGCCACTTAATACATCCTTAAACCAGTAAACCATATTCAGGTGTCCTGACTGTAATCTGGGTCAATGCTGGTGGTAAACATTTTCAGTATGTTCAATTACTAAATGTCCACAGGTCAAACTTATTGCATATGTGCTATTTTTAAATGAAACTAAACAGGCTACTTCAATTTATTTATTTACTGGATTTGTTACTTTAAATATATTAATTTGAAAGGGGAAGACATTTATGAATCTTGGAAGCATGTAGAAGAGGTATCAAGAACTTATCATTTAGGGTTTGCTGTTCCTTATGGTCTTGTGATGTGGCCAAAGTTGCTGGGTTTAAATTATGTCCTCTCCACACCAAAACAAATCACTCCCTATGCCCTGCCTGAGAACTTGCCATGTTTCTGCAGAAAATAACTCAGTCTGATTACACACAAGCTCTTTCAAACATGGGGTATGACTAGGAAGATGTTAACAGGCCCACAACTGAAGCAAAATACTGATTGTGGCCATGAGTACTAACATCGAGAAGTTGGTTATGAGTTGCCCTTCAGAGAGTGTTCCTGGCAGAAGAATCCAGAATAATAACATAATATTCACATTCACTTCAGGTATCAACATACAGTAAATCACCAGTGTGTTCACTTAATCTGCTGCCCTGAAACCTAATGAAGTCATCTCTGATGAATGTGATGCTTGGGGTGTGTGTTACTGTCTGAGTTTTGTATGTCTTATTTAATTGGCTTCTCTTTTACAAGGAGGTCATAAAGACTGGGGTGAAAGAATGGGGCCTTGGTTAGCACATCTCACCTGGCGTTGATGAGGTACTGGGCAAGGCTGATGTTAGCTGGGGTTCCTGTGATGGTAATTTGACGTTCCGATGAACCTTCTGTGGCATTGGCGATTTTGATCTGCGCTCCAGACATCTGTCGAATTTCATTGATTTTGGTCCCTTGGCGTCCGATTATGCAGCCTATTAGCTAGAAAAAAGTATGGAGGGAATTTCTTAAAGCGGATCCTCAGACAGTAACTCGCAGGATGCAAGCATGATTACACGGTGAAGGTCAAGGGATTGGTGGGCCACCTGTTTTTGTTAAAAGGTGTGAATGACTTTAATGCTCATGAAAGCAAGAGACTAAAAGCACTGGTGCGAGCCACATATAACAGGAGCAACTTCCCTCAACAGCATTGCCGTTGTGACTTCTTGCTGACCTGCAACAACCTGATGTTGTTCCAGTCCTTTTTCTCTTTTGAGCAGAGAGTTCTACTTGTGCTAAGATTATGCCAAACTAGCACTGAAGGCTTAAGATATGGAAAATAGAGCTATGCTACCAAATTCATCTTCTGGTGTTTCCTCACCCAGGCTCAGAACCAATCAAAGATGAAATGTTGAATCTTTTTTATTGCACACTTAACTTTAGGGAGAGTTACTTTGTATAAAGTGCTAAGTAGCTCTTCTGTTACTGAACTTTTAACAAAGATATCATCTGGTCCTCCTTGCTCTTTCACGTTCTTTTAAACATATTTATACTATGACTACATATGAACTGGCCAGTCTCAACCTTAACACTATCCTGGGTCAATTTCTCTGTCCACACTGAACAACCCCCTGGCAAGCAAAGCCTAAAGGTTTCAAGGTAAATAAGATTAAAGAAACATGGGCTCACAGAGGTGAATATCAGACAGAGAGAGAGGAAAGTGTAGCAGGTTGACAGCACTAGAGACTGAAGTCATATATATACGCAGGGAGCGCGTCTACACAAGACGCTATGTCTCCATAGCCCAGTGCTACAGTGACGTAGCATCAGCAGGCATGAACCATGATGCCAGTGCTACTGTGCAGTAGCATGGGAAAAGACCCATCCAGCGCCATCTGGACTGCACAGTAACATCAGTTAGTGCACAGTCTGGTGCATATGTAGAAGCACCCAGGGAAGATATATTACAGACACAAGCAGTTTAGGACTCACAACAGTTCTCAATATTCCTCAATCTTTCCTCCTTTCTGAAAATCCTTTGGGGATGAGAAGGTGGTTAATGTCTCCATGCCCATTCCTACTTAATAGCATCTCATATCAGAGTGCCATCAAGAGCAGGATGTTTAGAGAAAGAATACCTGTCTTCTTATTATAATAATGAGATCACAAACTTCCTTTCCAGAGGCCACCAATGGACAATGTATCAATGAAACAAAGAAAGAATAAAAAATGTGAGAAAAGAGAGAAAATTGTATAAGAGAAAGGTAGGAGGAGAATTTCTGAATGTTGCTGGATTATTTCTATGTTGGATATAAGAACAGTGGCAGAATGGAAATCTAAGGTACATGGAAGAAAAGAAATTTTTGCTAATTCCAGATCTATATTATTATGTTCTCAGCAGCCAAAGAAAGCTAACTTTGGACATTAAAATGGCTGTGGTATTAAGTCTAACAGATGGCAAAGAGATCTGCAACAAATTTTCAAATTAAATTAAAATAAGATATGATTATTTACAGTGATCTCTCAGGTCCCCTTAGAATTACTGAAACGAAGGTCAGGTAATTCTTATGTACATTTTTTCTAACCTTAATTAATGGCATTCTCTCTTGACATAGAAACTAAATGGTAAATAACACGAGGTTCAAAAAGAACAAGATTAAGAAATAAAAGCTCTGCTCAAAATATAGAGAAGGTAATGAACAATAAGTGGAGTTCTTTGAGAGTCATAGATTCACAGATGTTAGGGTTGGAAGGGACCTCAATAGATCATCAAGTCTGATGATCTGTCAGATGTGTCAACCATGTCCCTATTCCACTGTAGGTGAGCATGCACCTTGAACACTTGAGTTTGGACACTTCGTGCACCTGACCTCTTCCAGAGCTCAATACAGGGGTTAGAAAAGACAGTCTATGCTTCTTACTTGTCAGTTCCCTCAACCACAGAATCCCAGAGTGACACGGACTCCAAGGAGGGACAGGACGTGGGACATCTCAAAGAACTCTAGTAAGTTCTGGCGAGTCACTGCGCTTTTTTTTGTTTGCAGTGTCTGTCCATATGCACTTTCCACTGTGGGTAACTCCAGAACAATGCCTGAATCACTTGCAGCAGGTCTCAGAGTTTAAAGTAAACTGTGACTGGATTGGCTGCTTTGTCTACTGTCATATCTGGTCTGGAGGCCTCAATAACAGCACAGTGCTTGGTTTTTAAAGCTCTAGTCTGCCTTGCAAATATCTGTGATGGACATGTTCCAGGGTGAGTCTACCAAAGTTGTCTGGGATGTTATGGGCTCTGATTGCCAACAGCAAGCTCTCCTCATGAAGGGGGAGGGAGGGGAAATCTGCCATGAGTGCCTGGTTTTCACCCACCTTTCTTACCAAAGTGGTGGCCATCAAGAATGCCAGATTCAGGGACAAATGGAGTAGCAAGCTGATGTTCATCAGTTTGAATGGTGAGCCCATTTGGCAGTAAACCCAGGCTTAGCTCTCACTGAGGCATTGCATCTTCTACTGGAGAATATCTTGGTTGAGCTTTAAAGCCAATTTCAAAACCAAGGTAAGATAGACAGACCCTTTACAGGTGGGTGGTGAGCTGAGACAGTAGATAGGTACACTTTGACAGAGCTTAGGGCCAAGTCACTATACTTCAGCTCTAACAGAGACTCAAAGATGGCCAGAATGGAAGCTTTGTGGGGAGAAAGAGATTTCATATAGGACCAAGCCAAAAATGTTGCCATTGAGGCAGTTAAATTTGTCTGGTTGAGTCTCTCCTGCTATGGATGGGAACAGCTCTGTCAGGAGAGGAGCAGGCCTATTCAATTGCTGAAAACCATCCAGTATCCAGGCTGGGAAATACAGAGTGTGCAGATCCACGTGGAGTGTCTTCTCTCCAGGAAGAACTGGGAGAGCAGGTCTGGGACCAGTGGTAGAGACCTGGGCTACTCACAGACATGCACAGAAAATCTAGGAACAAAAACTGCTTTGTCCAAGTTGAGGACAGCAAGATTAGTCATGTGGAAACGTGTCGCATCTTCCATAGCACTTGCTGACTTAGATGAATAGGTGAAAAGTATAAAAGAAGTTCTCTAAGCATAGCATGAAAAAAGTTTTGGAGAATAAGCTCCATCTGAATCCTCCCTTGAAGAAGATGATGTAACACTTTTTGTTGCTGTCTGAGGAAAAAAGGTCAGCCTTCCAGAAAAGTTCCTGTAGTGCACAGTCCATGATCACCCATTCAGTATATGAGAGAGAGAGAGAGAGAGAGAGACAGGCCTACTGAAGCTATCCACTTGGGTATTCTACAATCACAGGAGGCACATGGCTGATGGATATATCCTATGTTGAATGTGCTAGTTCCAGAGGCTGCCTGCTTACCTACCAGCAAAGGGGGAAAATCTTGCACCTCCTCCCTCTTTGTATTATATTTATAAGCATTATAGTGATTATATCCATCATAATCTGGATGTGATACCCCACAATATGATGTAGAAATGATCAAAATGCTCTTTCGATTGATTTTAGCTCTGAGACTGGAATGTAGTTTTGCTTCTATGCACAAGCTTGAGTTTGAAAGGCATTCACATCTGTCCCCTAACCTTGTGGGGAGACTTCTTCATAACTGTCAGTGATAGTTGGGAGGAGAGAAACAGGACCTCCCCCTTCAGATGTTAACTGGGTCCTTACAGAGTGATAATGAATGAGGGACATCTCAGTAGGAAAGGAAGAGGAACGTACCTTAGTGTAAAGAAGCTTTTTCATTCTAGCTGCTATGTCTGCAAAGTCTTCTTATGCTCAAGATCTGAGCATGAATGGCCTGTGATGCTGACAGAAGACCATGATCACAGGTGGTGGAATGTGTCCTGAGAGCTGCCTCTTGAATGTGCAGCTCAGAGATTCATTCTTGTGGCTACTGGGCCAGAAATCATGAATGTGATGGCTGTCCAGAGGTTGAAAGAATGGTCAAATGAGGATACCTCATTTGGTAGTGTTGATGTATATAGAAACAGGAACAGCTCCTTAACAAACCAGAATTGGAGGTGATAGATCTTAGTGCCAGCCAGGCCAGGGAGAACAGCAGAAACTGGTTTTGGCTAGACAGTGATATCATTTGGTTCAGTGAGGTGAGGTGGCACCACAGATGTCAAAAATGCTGGCGGCAATGGTGTAGCAGGAAACCACTGAGGTATATGCACATCAGTGGAGCAACTGACACTATTGCCAAGGCCACTGGTGCCAGGATGGAAGGCAGTGCTGGAGTATTGGCTCTATAATGAATAAGTGTCAGAGGGGGCACTTGTTTTTATGCTGTATAGGCACTGTTAAGGCAGATTATCTGGAACCAGAAATCTGTCCTGGGTCATTTATAAGCATCTTCAACATGCCTGTATAGTTGTGAAGTCTTATGTTGGGGGCAGGGGGGTGAAGACAGCATGAAGACACATTCAGGGAAAACCCTGGGTTGGGATCCTCCCTTTGAACTAGTCTTGCACTGCCAGGGGTCCTGCCAATGAGACCCCTAGTCTCAAAAAGGAAGTTACACCTCTGCAGTGTCTTTGCTCACCTGACTCCTGCATGCTGAAGTTAGCAACTAACCCCATAGAGTTGCTAGAGTCTAACTTCATGATCTTTCAAAGTCAAAAAGTGAAAAAATTGAAAACCCTTTGGGACATGAGACTCACCTAAATAGCAAAAGCACCTTACCATACTCATCCATGGCAGACACAGCCCTGTTTCAGCAGAGAAATAGCCTGAAGCCATGCCAAGTGTGAAGGAAGAAGCCTGGTCAGAGTCATGGGAAAAAAAAGAAATCTCACGCAGGTACAGGAGTAGGCTAGGAGAGCCTCATGTTTCAGTGGTGAAATGATGGAGACCAGAAGCACAAAGGAGAATAATGAGAAAAGGCAAACCAGAATTTGTCTGGAAAAACAAAAAGAAGAAAGAGGGTAGAACAGGTTGGGTCTGAAAAATGGTCAGACAAATCTGGAACAGACTGCAGAGAAATACTG